AAATTTTCAAGAGTTATGGAAAACTTCATTGGAAAAATTCGGCTAATCAGACAACAAGTATCTCCGCAATAAAACAAAAAACTGAAACTTACTCTGTATAGCAGAGTAGTATACCTTGTAGATATATAAACACTACTCATCTATTCATCAGAAATCGCCAATTTATCTAAAGACGGGTATTAGAATTTTTCGAATTGAACAGAGACAAAGCACTTAGAATTTATTATTTTAATTTTGTCAAAAAATTATTCTTTCACGTATGATCAGTATTTTCCATTTTCTTAACAAATTTTCTTATATTTATTAATTTTCAGAGTGCATTCACAAAATGTATTCTTAATCTAATCGCAAATTGCCCAATCCTAACCAAATAACACCAACCTGGGACATGTAGCATATACTGACTGGAAATATAATTGGAGGGGGAGTTTTTATGCTGTCGAGAACACAGAAGCAGCATACAACTCTCAACTAAGAAGAAGTCAATTAATTAAATAATTTTATCAAGTCTAGAAGAGTCAACGTTTGGCATAACCAAAATCTACCAACGGGATCATCGTAATTTGCTATTTTTGACGACTTGCCACAACAGCTGAAATTTGGCACGAAAATCGCTTGATCGACTAGGAATTCAATGTTAAAAAATGGTTGCAACCTGCCTACGTTTTGAATCCATTTTCTAAATGATTTGGACACATTCCTTGTAAAAGATAGGTGAGGTTTTCATTATCTTTTGCATTTCATTGCATTCATACTTATGTATTTATTTTAAATATACGTACTCATTTAATTTTTATTTGAATTTACTTTATTTTCTTCAAAAACGTGCAAAATAAACAATACCATATTCCAATTTCATAAAATGTATTTGTGCAAAAATAGTAGCATGTTTTTTCGGAGAAAATATACTAATCAAAATTCATGTAAAATTTAATATCGATAAAACATAACTCTTCTCTAATAATTTATCGATTAATTAAATAAAAGCCATCGCTATGTAAATGTAAAATATTGCTTAAGCAGAAGATTCTCTCTGCGTTAACGTTGAAATTACAAACCAAATGTAAAGTCAGATTAAAAAGCTTTAATAACTTCACGCGTTCAATCTATTTTGTAAAACGTGGATGACTAAAGAAAAATTTGTAAATGCCGATCTCACTAAAGGGGTATTGAGGCAATTGAAAGGAGAAAGATAAAATTCAAAATCATATAAGAGCCATGGTTATGAAACACATGCAGATGTAGAAAATGGAAAAGGCGAGCAAATGCTCATTTGCTGTGCGTTCTTAATAATCCCGTTACAAGTTCCATTTCCTCACTGTTGCATTCCTTTAACCTATATTTTTATTTAAATTTATTAGGAATTAAACTTTGTATTTTTGTATTTTCATTTCAAATGTGTAGGCATGTATATTCCACTATTGTCACACTTTATGTGAATATAGACCAGAATATAGTTTTTATATTTGTTTTTGCCTACCAGTAAGGACAGGATGAATTCAATTTGGAATGTTCTTCGAATATTCCATAGTTTCATATTTTTCTTTGAATATGAAATAAGTGCGAACTCAATATTGGTTTGTATTGGTTTATTTTACTTGTTATTAATATATTCCACCCACATTGATTACATGGAATGATTTTTTTCTCAATTGATTTTTTGTTTGACAGTTCCATGGCTTAGACTTTCATATAACATTTTCTTTTATAATAATAATCCCTTCTTTCTTCTGTAACCTTTGAGGACCGAAAAGAGAGACAGAGCCCTTTAATAGCCAAATTAAATATTGACAGAGAGAGAGAGAGAGAGATAGAGAGAGAGAATGAATTTGCGAAGTCATTAGAAATAAATACTGGACATATAAGCCACAAATCTATTGGCTTAGTCCATCTCTGTTCAACATACCAAAAAAAAAAAAAAATTGAAATAAATATTGCAGTATTACAAATTTTTAAAAATTGTGTAAATACTACTGAAATTGCTATTTGAATCGACCTAAGAATTCGAATTTTAACGACATAACAGATTTTTTCATTAATAATTAAAATTATGTGAACAATTAATTCTTTGCGACGTTGTAATTGTATAGTTTATCGTTTTAGTTTTTTTCGCATTCGTCATCGACTTGTGTTCTGAGTAGTGCGTGTTTTGTTTTTCGTCTGCGATTTTTTAATTGTTTTCGGTGTTTTTGTGCGTTTAGCTCGTATGTTTTCTGTGGTTGTGCAAAAACTGATTATCGCCGATACGATATTTGCTGTCGTTTTTCTGTAAATGGTTGTGATTTCTCCAACTGATCCCTCCAGAACAATTTCGCAAATTAGCCCTTTCAGTTCACCCTTTATATACCTTCAAGAGACCCATGGTAGAACCTCTTTTAATCCTACTCCATCCAAATCATATACTGGATACTTGACGAATGCTGATCAAAATTTATATTCCAAACAAAGAATTGGTGTTTTTATAAAATCAAGTATAGCTCACAAACTCATAAATTTAAGCTCAAATATACAAGCCGTAGCGATACAAATAATGTTAAATATAAAATTTACAGTGCTTTGGCTCTATATCCCACCTTCGCAATCGTTTTCTCAGCAAGAACTCCACAATTTTTTCTCCGTATTCTCCGCATCGGACTATCGCCCAATCTCTCTTTTATCTTGCCTCTCAAAGGTATTGGAAAAGATTATGGCATCTAGATTATCTTGGTTTCTTGAGTCCATGAATCTGATAACAAAGCAGCAAGTTGGTTTCAAGCGGAGTAGAGGGTGCATCGATGCTCTGTTACATATTGATTATTTTATAAGCAAAGCAATTTCCGAACGAAATCACGTAACAATTCTCTCAATTGATTTCGAAAAAGCATTTGACAGAGTTGGTCTTCATGTTATTGTAAGACTCTTGAAATCATAGAATGTTGGACCCAAATTTTTTAACTACATCAAATCATTCATATCGCATCGGCGGTTTAAGGTCAGAATCAACAATCACCTCTCTGATTCCTTTCCGCTAATGAATGACATTCCGCAAGGATCTCTTCTTTCTGTCACGCTTTTGCAGGTCGCCTTCAAAGAAATTAGCAAAATTCTTTGCCGTGTGCCGAGAATCCAACATTGTCTCTACGCGGACAATGTATACATTTTTACAAACGAAAACACGAAGGCAATCAACATCCTCGAATCTATTGGACGAGAGATCTCCACATGGGTAAACTCGTCAGCGGCTAAAATTTTTATACAAAAATAAAAAAATGTACATTTGTCGAAAACAGATGTGCGATGCAGGAAATCTACTGATGCATATTAATGACTTACCAGTACTAAACGTGCAGACGCTGCATATTCTCGGGCACATGTTGTCCAACAATTATCGTTGGAAAACACACTTTCTTCGGTTAAAAAATTCTATTTTAACAAGGGTGAATTTCATACAGTACGTTGCTTGGAGAAGTCATACGCATATTAACACTATTGCTTATCTTACCAAAATGCTTGTGTTAAGCAAGATTGACTATGCGTTTGCTAATTTATGGCAATAGCTGCAAATCTAATATCAACATCCTTAAACCGGTCTATCACCAAGCCGTTAGAGCAAGTTGTTATGCTTTTCGGACGACGCCCATAAACAATATTATAATTGAAACTGGTCCCCCAACCTTAGAAAATAGACTGTATGAGTTAAAAGCTAAAATAGTCCCTAAGCTTCTTAATTCAAACAAATCCATTCTCGGTGATGACGTAAGAAAGATTATTATTGCGAAGAAAATTCCAAAGTCACCATCTGCAATTGACCATTGTTTGTGCATCGCAAAGGAATTGAACATTCCCTTAAAAATTTCCCGCTCTTTTGGTGTTAAATCTCCCTGGATTTTGAAAGACTGCTCTTTTGACATCTCGCTGTTTATGCACAAGAAGAAGATACTACAGATTACGTCTTCAGGAATCTAACAGCTGAAAAAACCCAAGTATTGGAGAGTACTGGTTGGAATCTTTTACACACCGACCGCTCAAAATCTTCTGGTGCTACAGGACAGGTTCTTCTCAATCACATATTTCACGAAAGTACTTCAGCTTTCACAACCGAAGCCAGAGTTGTCCTTCACGCTGCGAACCTTGCTCATAAAAACAAACTCAAACCCATCATTGTTAGCGACAGTCTGTCTGTATTACAAGCTATTCGGAATCGTTCGACTTCGAGATGGAGCACCATCAACAAATTAAGGAATATAATTACAACACCCGATGGAAAAATTAAAATGTTAAGGGTACCAAGTCACATCGGTTTATTGGGAAACAAGCAGGCTGATCGACCGGCAAAGTATGGTGCTTCTGCTCCTCTAATTATGGATGATGTTATGGAAAAGTTGGATCTTCAAAAATACATTGGAAGAAAAGTTAAAGAGAAAATTGCAGAAGGAAATTTACAATACCATCATCAACACTACTCTTCCGTTAACCCTCAATTAACTCCACCTTTATATCCAGCAAATGTTGAGAAACCCAAGATCCAAACATTTTCGAGAATTCGCCTTGGTTATACAATTGAAACTCACCAATAGATCTTGAAGAAGTCTTCCTCCTCAATCTGCAGTTGTGGACAAACACTCCTATACTTTTCCGCTGAAAGCAGGCTGGCAAATTTCGAAATGTCTAGTTATTTCACAACCTTGATCTTAATTAACTTCTCGGAAAGTCTTACGAAATATGAGTGTGCTGCACTGTAAGCTATTACCCTTTTGTGGAAACCTTTACTTTACGCTTTCAAATTCTTTAAAATTTCTTCTTTTTTTAATATTTCATATTTTTTTCTACTCTACATGTGCTTCATATTTTTTTAAAATATTTTTTTTTTTAATTTTTTTTAATTAGTGTTGGGTTTACAAATCGAACCTAAATTGTATGATAGGAATTAATTATTAATTATGTTCGAGCAATTGGCAAAATTTAGAAACCGTTTCGTACAGAGAAATTCGAAAGGTGTCGCAAGGGAATATATCAATAAAATGACATGCGAAGGTAGGTCTTGGGTCTTTGAAGGCGGTCTAGGTATATATCACTTTCTCCCTCTCTCTTCTTCAGTGCAGGATCGCCTGCAGAGCAAACGCAGGGATTGTGATGTAATGCGTGGAAAGGATACGGGAGAACATAACGAGTCAACATATTTTAAAGATCGTGTTGCGTTGCCTTACTCCGGCTTTGCTATGCAAAAGTTAATGAAGGATTTAACTGACATAGATCCAGATATAGAATGGAAAGCTATAAACACTTTATCGGATGGCGTTATTATAAATTCAATACTTAGTCAGGGTTCAATAAGTGGCTACGCCTTTGTGAGAAAGTAAAGAAAGTTGCGAAGTTACTTCATAGAACGTTTCGTCACATTAAATTTTTTCTCCTTTGCAGGATCACAAATGTTTTCCTGCGTAAGCGATATAAAATCCTAGAAACCACCAAAGAAGAAATTAATGTTCTTTTAGAAATATTCAGTAAGTTTTCGAACAATGAACGTACAATTACTCGATTTCGATTATTTAAAACGTATCCGGAGAGATTAAGTTCAAATATTCTCTTATTTAATAGACCAATAAACGATCACCAAAGGATTAGCTTATGCTTAGTTCATATTTTGATTTAGAAAACTCAATATCCATTAGAGCATCCGTAAAATATATATACATCGACCAAAGTAATATTTTGAGACGTAACGCACTTCCAAAGGATTGGGCTACGCTAAGTCATATTTCCGTTTGGAAAACCCAATATTCATTAGAGAATTCATAAAATGTATATAAATCGACCAAAGTATTATTTTGGTGCGTTTCAGACATGTTTGTCCAAAGATAGATCTGCTTGTTGTCCGCATGGCTGTGAAAGTTATAATAGAAATCTGAAATTTAGCATAAGCTCACACATTCAGCTTCAAATCATTACACGTATCCGCAAACACACCTACAATTTTATGCTAGATGTAGAATTGTGGTTTGAGGTGTACCTAGCGTTCGTACTAATTGTGAATAACAATTGAGAATTTTTATATATAATAAGATAAGAGGATGTTGTGATCTCAGTTTCCCCGGATGAAGGAATGAATTCTAAGAAGACTTTAATAAAGCAAAAGCGCAAAAGCTTACATATATGGGAGGCGGATAAGAGTGACTTCAAATAGATTTGAAAATGTGTAATTTTTCCTTCTTAGTTATGATCGCTATGTACATGAATGGTGCTAAATACATTCTAAAAAGTGACCAGTTTGTAAAAGCATTATACGAAATGATTGAAAATGGTGAAGAAAATAGTTCGAAAGCTGCCGAAATATTAGCTTTCGCCACTCGAGAGTACGACGATGTTTTCTATTTGCAAGAACATTACAATGCAATACGTAAATTAGCTCGTATTCTCCGACGCAATGTACGCGCTTATAGTAATCCATCCGCTTTATACCGTCACTTGCAATGGCTGCTTGAGACATTTCCGGATGTTGGCGTCAAAGAGGGCCTCTTTGAAATCCTGTTTACGCGAATTAAAAATCGGGCATGTAATTTTCATAAATATGATTTGAAATGTTTCGTTCTTCTTTTACGTTGCCCGGCTGGACAGAAACGTTTTGCAGTCATTGATGGAATTAAGGAAATTTATGACATTCTCGTCGATCCTAATCGAAAATTAGATTCATATGAGAATGTAGTTTATGCCATAATGACCGCAATGTTTACCAAGAAAATTGTTTTGCGATGCTCTCAGTTTGTTGACTTGCCCCGACTTATAACTCAGTTGGCCAAGGATAGTAAAGAAACCATTATGCAATTATATTGTTTTCAGGTATATTTTCACATATAATCAAATTACCCTTTTTTATACACATCGACATCGAAACATTGCAGGCACTCCACATGCTGACTGATATGCCTCGTGTGAAACGTTATATGAAAACAAATTGTTTTCAAATTCTGCAACAAATAAGTTGCGAGGATACGGTTAATGAAAAACGGAAGAGTGAACTCCTATATAAACTGAATCGTGAAATTTATCACACAAGTGGACTGCGTTTAGAAAACAGAAAACCAGTCGATATTGTTATGGAAACTAGATCACGCTCTTACGGAGAGGAAGGACATATCGCACTGCGCCGTTTATAAATCCCTTATAGACAATGCTAGCTTTCAAACATATTTGTGGTATTCAGAATTGCGTGTTATGTTCTATGGATCGAAATTATATTAATAGCAAACAAAGAAATAAAATTATTTTCGATTCATGGCTATAGTATTATTTTATGTTAATTAAATATATGCAGTTTGTACAGTGGGATATTTTCCCGTTATTAAAGAAAGGAATGAAAAAATTTGTAGATATTATCTGTGTTAGGTAATGGATAGCTAAGGTAAGCTGCACTCAATATGGCGTCTTATAATCTAAAATTCTAATTATCATTTGCTAGTTCGGTAATAGTGCTAATATTGTCTACAACAACGATCCTTACCTGCACGTTTTGCTTTTTTGCAAACTCCCAAGTTGTACAACCTCCCGAGGTCCACAACCTACATGCGCACTGCAGAGTCAACTGCAATTGTATATACATTTCGTTTCATATGGTACTTAAAGAAAAGAAAACCAGGTAACGGTTTTTAATTAAGATAATTTTCATATTATCGTGAAAAAAAAATAAATAAACGAAATAAAGAGTGCAAACACGACGAAATTGTTTAAAAAACCAAATAAATTTTAAAAAACTTTACGAAAACGAATTGAAAATTGAAAGTGCACAACTTTAAGCCTTGCTGAAATGTATTACGGCCTCTTCAAAAGATTCGGGCGCAAAACTTAAGCTACGCATTGAAAGCAAAAGTAAACATTTATTAAACTCTGTTAAGTATTAGCAATAATTTTTTTAAACTCAAAACAAAATTCTATTTATGAAACACTACTTCTTCTTAAGTTCGATTTCTGAGCAATGATTTTGCCTGCCCACCTCATCATTACCACGGGTCCATACCCTTCTTCATTTCCTTCAACATCGAATTTCTTCCAATTGTTGACGCGATATATTTCATTCCTTTTCCTTTAAGGTTTCGGTTAAAGTTTTCCTTCTTTTTCCCTCTAAAGGTTCTCAATCGTCCGAACTGGTCCGTTTCTTTGGTTTGCCTTCTCTGTAATACCTTCATTTTCTGCTCTTTTATTAGGATATTGCAGAGTGGTTTTAGTTTCGCATGCTTTGGCTTTAACTTGTTTTCGATCGATATATATATATTATTACAAGATGAAGAGTTAGTAGATAAATAAGCTATTCTAGAAAACTTTTCCTCATTCAAAGAAATTTCTTTTCTACTTTTTTTTTTTTTCTATTTTCTTTCTTATTTTCCGTCTTATTATGCTAAATGTCGATTAATTAATTAAACTGCATGTTAAATTTAAATTGTGCCATAGGCACTGAATTGCTTTTACCATCCGATGAAGTCTATGTTACCACATGCGGACATCACTTCCTTTCACCTCTTCCATTCCCCTTGCCATAGGCGTAAAGTAGCGAGGTGAGCGAATAAGCGCTAGAATGTTTACTTAATTTTGTTATTTTTTGTTAAAAATTTCATTTAAATCAAAAACACGTCCTCAGCATCATAGAAAGTGCCCCGAGCGCAGCATAATACGTGTTTACTGACAAAACTTAACAAGTCTAAAACCTGAAAATTATAATTTCGAGAATTGAAAAGTTTTAATCAATGACTAAAAATAGACCCCCACCAACTGAGAAAAGATTTTTACCTTTATTTATAAATTTCGATGCACCAGGAATTTGTCAGACGAGACTGTAGAATTAACCTCTAGTTGCACCCAATCTATTGCCAGTGCAGCAGCTTCGGCTATGAAAACACGACGCAACTTGTTAGCTAACTTAAGCTTGAATATAATGCTCGGACGCGTAGATTGAAGCTACAATTAGGAAACATGACTACACGATCACAATTTTTTTTGTAAGCACGATCTGCTTATAAAGATTGAAATAAACGTAAAGGACATTTGAATTTCTTAGCCAACATGTGCTAATGTGAGCGATATAGATAACAAACTGTTGCTATGACCAGCAAAATGTTTGTACTCAACGTCACTTGTGGTATAGGTTATATTATGTTTGTCTTGACTTACGTACCATCAACAAGGGCTTAGAGTAGAATCACCTTATATTATCTAAGCTTGTACGTCCGCCGGTTCACTCGCAGTTTTCGAGATATTTTGATGAAATTTGGTACACAGATATGCTTTGACATAAGGACGAACTGGCCTCTTATGGAAAGCTACAGAACATGGAAATGTGCCTCCCACTTAGTTTTTTTGAAATGGAGGTATATATATATGTATATATGTATATATGTACGCGTGCACGTGTGTGCTTGTGATGATCAAAGCTGTGTCCGGCTTGCAGCAAAAATAAGAACCAACCAAAACAAGTAGAAACACTATGGTGGGCCCAACAGCAAGGTTTAATGCAGTTATTCAGATAACGGGTTTTCAAAATAAGTTGTTAAAAGGGAAATGGTCAAAAGTCCGAAGTCCGAAGTCCGGTCCGAAGTATTTTCAATAATGTTTGTCCTCGGTGCTGGTGTATGAATTTTCATTGACATATCTCATAAATTGCGAACTGTAGATTGAACACAAGAGAACAAGGCGGACAGATGGATCGACGAGTTAGGTTGACTCTGAATGGGTTGGTGTATTGAACGGCGGGTTAATCCCAAGCCCTGCTTGGCATTGCACATATCCGAACAAACTAAGTATATTTTTGCGTAACAAGTCTCGTAGGTTATAATTACCTAGGCCGACAAAACTTGCTCTTTCTTTTTGTTTTTCTTAACATCAGAATATATTCCTTACTAACTTACAACAATAAATCATGTGAGAAAATATATATGGTTACGACCGAATCTTTTATGTCCGTCACCGTCATCCTATAAAAGGTAGAAAAGAGGAAAAATATAGATTTGATTAGACTATAATATGGGCTGCTATATTTACGAAGCGAAAGACGCGGAAAGCAAAGTTGGTCTCAGTTTAGGGTGTATAGACTTGCGGGCGATGTAGGCGTGTTCTTTGAGTTGTTTAGCCCGTTTTGAATTCTTTTGCGGATAGGCGAGTGTTTATTATAGATACTACACAGTTGAATAGTCGACCGGACGGACATACCAAAGTAAAACTGGCTAAGGGTTTATAAACTTTATTGGGATTTTGAAGCTGGTTTTTGCGCATTACAAAAGTATTGAAATAAAAATTAAATTTTGATATACTGGAATATTGAGTGGGCGAGGTCAATTTTTGTACATTTTTGTGCAGGTATTACAGCATCGTCCAAAGAATATACGTTCAGTTTTTTTGTGTATTTATTATTCTATAGTTTACGAGTAATGAGCAACAAATCAATTTTTTTTCCGTCTGAAGAACAGAGCTGCTCTCAGTTTACGCCGTACTGCCGCGTAATACGATCTTGCGTCCAATGTTTCTGCCAAATCGACAAGCTCGATAACATCGTTTTTACTGCCAGGAGCATATTTACAACAGTCAGCCCATAGATAGACGCACATGTTTGAATCAGAATTTCAGTATTTAATGCTGATCAAGAATAAGTACAGTTTGTGATGTCTCTGAATCTGCCTTGTGGGCGTTGCAAACGTTTCGGCAAAAAGAATATACTCTGCAGCGATTGCAAATCCGCCCATTTAATTGAGCAAGCGATACGGCGGTTTCAATTTGCTTGTGACGAGAAGCTTGCACGTGAAAATTGATTAGGCGTTTTGGAAACTCTCTTATTTGAAATCATTTTGTCAAGACTTAGCTAGCTAAGTTCACTTTTCCATAGCTTTCAATATATTTTTTTATATTCTTTATATATTTTAATAAGCTTGTGCTAATATATTAGGAATTTAAAGAGGTGGCAGGCGATAGATAGGAAAAACTGATGTGGAACAAATTGGCAAAATATAAAAATAATTATTTACAAACTCAAACAAAATTTTTACCACAGGAATATGTCAATGAATTGACTGAAAATTGTATGGTTTTGTCGTTATCATCTATTAAAAAGAATAATCCATTTGTATATATTCACCATGTGTATAGCATTGAGTAAAGCTCAGAGCAAACGCGGCAAATGCGATGTAGTGCATGGAAAGCAAGAGGAGAAAGTACAGGAGTCATGTTATTTTAAAGATCGCGCCACGTTAGCCTATGGTTTTGGTGCCCTGCCTAAACTTATGGAGGGTATAGGCGATGAAGATCCGCATGTACAATTAAAGTCTATCAATTCGCTAGCGGAGTTTCTTTTAAATCCTTTACATGGTCAATCGGCAATAAACGCCCATGAGGTTGTGAAAAGGTACAAACCATTATACGTGATGGGGTTCCTTAATACCAAACACTTTCGTGTGTCTTTGTAGATGTCAAAATTTCTTTTTGCGCAGGCGATTTCGATATCGAGCGACTAGCTATGAAGAGATGGATAGTATCTTAAATCTGTTTGGTAAGTACTGCAAAGCAAAATTGAAATAAATCAGGTTCCATACTATTCTACGCCATAAACTTTGCTTAACTTATATCAAGTTAGCGCAGATTATGTATTATCAAGAGAAATCTGGAAAAAGTTTTATTGTTTTCTAAAGATTTTAGGAAAATGCTTTTATTAATGAAGAGAGTGGTATGAATTCTATCTCTCATTAGTTGCAATCGCTATGCATATGAATGGCAGTCAATACATTTTAGAGAGCGGGCGTTTAATCAATCAGTTTTATGAGATAATGGAGGGGGGCGAAGAACTTAGTGAGAAGGTGGCTGTTATTTTAGCTTTTTGCACTAAGGAGTACGATGACGTTTGTTTCCTACAAGAACGTTACAATGCGGTCGGCAGGTTAGCTCGCATTTTTGGACGCGATGTGTGTATCCATTCACATCCATCTGCTATATATCGTCACATGAAGTTGCTGCTTGAAGTGTATCCCGATGTGGCAGTCAACGAAGGTCTTTTCGAGATCCTTTTTACACGTATTAAGAATCGTGCACACGAATTTTGGCAAAATGAAATGCAATGTTTTGCGCTTTTGTTACGTTGCGCAGAGGGGCAAAAACGCTTTGTGGCTGTTGATGGTATGAAGGAAATGTACGACATTCTTAGTGATACAACGCGTAAATTAAATTCGTACAAATACGTGATTTTCACCATAATGCACGGTCTGTCTTCCAAGGATGCACTCTGGCGATGTTCTGCATTTGTCGACTTGCCAGAGCTTATAACTAAGTTAGCCAAAGACGACACGCAGCTATTCTGCTTTCAGGTACACTTTGATGATCAATGCTTGTTGCATTGTAATACGGGTTTGTGTCTTATAGACTCTCTACACATTGGCGGACATGCCTCGCATAAAAGCTTATATGCGTATGAATTGTTATGAAGACTTGAAAAAGCTTAATTGTGAGGAAAAGATTAACGAAGAGCGAAAAGCTGAACTTTTACACAAACTAGATCGTGAGGTCTTCCATACGAGTAGATTACGTGTAAACGATCGAAAGCCATTTGAAATTGATATCGAACCTAGGCTAGCTCCATTTGGAAGTGGAAGACGTGTTGCACTACGCCATACATAAATCCTTCAAATAATACTAATTTTAATATATACTTGTAGTTTTTAGAGTTTAGTTTTACATATGACGTGCTGTAAGCTAATCTGAAATCTTTTCTATGCAAGAGCAGGAAAAAACTCTGTCCATTGACTGACCAAACTTCAGTAGCGATCACTTTAGTTAAAGTATTTTATCTTATCTTAAGTGGTTGATACTCAAGTTATGTAATAAGTTGAATATAGATTTTTCACTGCTTCAATATTTGGATAAAAACGATAGCAGCGGCGCGTCTTAGTTGGAATAATGTAATAAAATGAACGAATGTACTCTTTTAGCACGAATTGATTAGCTGCACTTTGTAAGCAATAAATGTATTTTTATATAAAAACGTGTACGGTCTTCAATCTTTTCTTTCAATTATACGAAAGTTTTTATTTATTATTGCACAGAAAAAATAGTTTATTCATCAATGAACTTGTGTTTGAAGAACTACTTCGCGGCAAGGGCGTCGTTAAGCACTCTACGGCACTGCGCCTAAAATAATGATTTTCATTCATTACGCCACTTGTGGTACGAGGTTGTATTAAGTGTGTGTCCAACACCTGCAACTTGGGGTAGACTTATTTTTCTTTATACCGGGTGATTCCGAAGCTTGTCTATCCCCTGTCCATCTTGTTTCCTTGTGTCGAACACGTCAACATATTATGAGCATACAGGCCCGCTTTGGCCCAAAGATGGTCAGTATTGAGAATGGTTTGGATTGGACCACCTTTTCGAACACTTTCCATATAACATATTATTTTGAAAAGTCATTATATAAATAACTGTATGAAACGAAACTGTGTAGGGTATTTAAAGGTGGGCTATAGTGTTTCCACTTGTTTTCCTGATAAAATACCAAAAATTATATATATTTCGATGGAGAACAATATTTTTTATGTAGTTTTTGTACGGCAGTGAGTGAAATGCCAAATTAATAGCATGAGATAAATACCTGTTTTTTGTAGGAAAGTTGTAAAGAGTTTGAAAAATTGGCTCATGCCGTTCAAGCTATTCATGTCAAGCCAATACGACAAAGCTCGTATGCTCAGTGAAGCTTGTTGGAAAATTTTCAAGATATGCAAAATTTGAAGATTTGCAAAATTTTTCGTGTAGTGATTTGTTCAAAGGAAGTCGCCATATTGGATAGTGTTTGCGTCAAAGTGTATCAATGTATTAAATGTCGTCACTACATCTAGAATATATTGACAATCATCAGCCAACTTTCGGACAGACGCACGAATAAAGTTGAATCGGTTTAGAAAATATTATTATTATTATTATTATTTTAATTTTAGACTAATGAATTGAATTCTTAGACTAAAAAAAGAGACATTGAGCACTAGCAACACAGGCTATCGGCTCTAATTTAAATAAATGGATATTAGATAATAAGCTT